GTTTGCTCGTTGGACCGCGATAATCTTGGCGTGTCGCTTGATTAACAAATTAACCCGATCGAAGAAATTTCAGGACGGGAAAAATCGTCGAAGGGACTGCCGTCAAAATATGTTTCAAAAGAAACTTTTATCTCTGGTCATTTTCAGATGCAACGGGTTAAATTTCTACTTCGAGGTTAAAAATTACGATTCTACGATTAGTAGAAGTTTCGCGTTGATGGCACAGGTAAAAGGGTTGAAGTTCTTTTCCTCCAGTATTGAATAAAACATGAAACATTTAACGATCGCGGTATCAAGAATCAATTTCTTCCATTCAATCAAGTCCCAGCGTGACGAGAACAAAATGCCAGTCACAAAGGACGCGGTTGGAAAAGTTGAAACAAAGAGGCGTCGCGATTGTCCGTAGAAGAGGTCGGAGAGTCGGTGCGCGCTCGTCTCGCGAAACGATTTGGAGAACGATGCCGTTGCACGCGGCACCGCGTTATAATTACTGGTCGTATGTATCAGACACGCAATCAAGAATGAATTATCGCGGAACCACGCCTCTTGCCAGCGCTCAACCGGGCACAACAATGCCGACGCATCACGAGCAGCGACCCGACTGTCGATGATGTGTGCTAATAGTCCCCTGGTGGCTTTTCGCCCACAGTATCCAGATCCCGTGGCACGATTTTTTCCTGCCTGCGGCTATTCACGCTTCCTCGTCTTGCCACCGCGTATTCTCCGATTATCCTTGTGGTCCATCCTGGCTCATCGTCTCTATAATTACGCGATCGATTAAAATGTTCTTTCGCTATTATCCGAAACACGTTAATTTGTTAGCCTTTTGCTTGCAAAGGTGAGCAACGACAAGATTCCATAGATGAAACTATGTAAAATTATCTGAAATATTGTATACGCTAGCAAGAATATTGATTTTCGTTCGGTTCGAGGATTGAAACAAGTTCTTGTAATTTCATTCGTTATTCGTCTACTGGTTGTTAAACTTAAATTCAACGGTTCGTGTTCGTTTTCTCCGTCTGTCCAATTTCTAAATTGCATCGCATCGAAACGCACCCCGAACCGATACTCGCAGACGTCCAAAAAGAACCCGCGATCTACGCCAACTAGAATTTCGAGCCACCAATTCCAAGACCTTTCACCTCCAGCTTTTTTCCCCATGATCTGGAACGCTGCCGGATAACGCGGGCTAGTCTCGACCCATAAAACCCGAAATAACTCTTGGTCCGAGCCTCCACCTCCGGCCATCCTACGCTCGGACAATATCAGACGCGGATGGCAGCCGTAGGGGGTGGTAGGTGGGCGGGAGTCGCGTACAGGAAAGGAAGACGAAGGGAAGGGACGTAATAAATTCGCAATTTCCTTATTACGGGTAATGCCCCGGTCGGTGGGTGAGCTCGCATAAATATCCCTGGTTCCGGTGATCCTGTGACTTCCGGTCAGCCGCAATGACTTACGCTGGTCGAAGGGTGGTCCAGTCGAAGGGAGGAAGGGTGAACCAGTATCCAGCCAACGAACCGGCGAACCAACCCAACGCGGAGACGGAAAGAGGGTGGACGGGGTGTAGGTTTCGAGTTGGTTCGCAAAAGAGGGCGATGCTCGCGATGGAATTTGTCCCCGGCGGTTCCGCCCTCGGATGACCACTGATAAATTTACTAGATTCTCCTTCTCTTTCCGCAGTCGTTGCTGCTGCACCCTGTCCGATTTCTTACAGACTTTTCAACTTCTATCCTGACTTTATTTCCGTACCAGGTGAAAGAATTATTGGGTCATCTCGAAAGTTCGTGGCATTTTTCACGTCGGCGATCTGTTCGTAATACCGAATACACGGACACAAAGACTACCTTTGATCAGATAAGTCACGTTATTTGTATATTTCCAATCTTTTCGTTCAAATAAATCGTAGTCTATACATTTGGAGCGACTTAGTATATTTTGAATTGGTCGCGCAGTTTGCCACGGCGAAAATTCGCTGAAAACCATCTTCGACCTCCCTGTTTTGGAGGTGGAACGTCTGGCATTGGTTTTGTTTCTCCTATCGTTTCCGCGATCCTCCTTCCCCTTCTGGACTACAAAAGTTTGAAAAAGCGAGGGAAAGCGCGAGAAAGCTACAACCTGCTGGTCCTCTCCCCTTCTCGACAACCCACTTCCACCCTCATTGTCGCTAGGCGAACAGAGAAGAAACTTTTCCATATGAGAAATTGTGCTCCATCGGCTTTTCAGAAATTTTGGACGTTTCTTGTCTTCCTTTCTCCCTCTTTCTCTTCTCTTTCTCTCCGTCGCGTCGATACGCTTCGAGACGCGGAGTTTAATTCGTCGAGTAGCTTTGATCCTCGCGTCGTCACGGGGAAGCAATAACCTTAATTGGTTTCTTCCGTGCGCTTTATTTTTCACTGTGCATTAAAAGTTCCCCTGATAATCAAACCAGTCGAGGAACCGTTCGTGGAACTATTTGGTCGATGGTTAATTCGTTAAGTGGGTAATACTTTTGATCGAAAACGATGCTTACTCGCGCCTACGAGGACTCGCGTTCGAGCAGACGAACGAAATAACTTAAAATATAAACGAAGAACGAAGTGTCAAGTTCCACGAGCTATCAAGGATAAGCAGTGTACTGCCGATTAACAACGCGGTCGATCGCGCATTATTTTCCGCGACGTAACAAGTACCGCGAAACCTCCATAAAATTTCGCCTCGAACGGCAGTGTCCAAACAGAGCCCGTTCCCATTAAATTACCCCTCGTTGTGCTCTGAGCAGTTTCCATAAAACACGAGGCATATATTTATCCTCGGTATCTCTCCCCAAGGTACGATCGTTCCGACAATCTGTTTCGTTTATCGTAGCCATCCCCTCCAGAAATCAGGAGACCCTTGTATCCCCTGCGTCCCGTGCACCGAGATTCGCTTCCGCCACGCCTAAACATCCGGCGAAATGATTTTTTTTCTTCCTCTTCTTCATCTTTTTCCTGCTTTCTGCGGAATCTCGCACCCTTGAACCGACCCGTAACGTGGCCGGAGAACGAGGGAGCGAGAGGGGTGAAAAAAAATGGGTGTCACGCTCCAATAAAACAAGCAATATCGCGATGTCCCGGGGCCAAAGGAGGTCTTGTGCGATCCCGCGGGGGGTCCTGACTCCCGTTGCGCGTCCTAAGGTATATTGCTCCCGGATCATCGCGCCTGCATCGCATTATGGGGATGATATCACCCTTTTCCACACGTACGAACGGACACGCACGCGCCAACTTATATTCTTCCTCGCACAATGCTTACGGGAATCGCCGTAACGACGCGAATACGACGAGTATGAGAAACGTGCGGCTGTCTGCGAATTTTCGCGAACACCCGTATCGAGAGCGGGACGCGTCGACGTCGGCGGGGAAGGTGTGCTGGATATTGCGATCTCAATATAATTCCTTTGTACCGATGCTCCGGATGCTGCAATCTTCTCGATGCTTCGACTAGTCGGACGGATAACAATTCATGAATCTTTACCCTTTGATTACGGGAGGATTTCCTCATAGGGTTGGTAATCGCAAATTTAATAACAGTTTTACCGAGGGTGAGTTTCGAAGAACGTAATTTGAGGTTCGCAGAATTTTATGTTCGATGCAAACTCCCGGGATGGTAGTAATAAAGACTGCAGGTTTTTATGTTTCACGAATGGTCGAAATACGCGTTTAACCGATTTGACGAATCTCTTTCAATTAGAGAGAGCCAATGTACGGTTGGAACGCGATCGAGCCGGGTTTCATTAAGGTGACGCTCGCGTGCAATCGATTGATGCGCGTTCCACCAAGCGATAAATGCCCTCGACACAGAAGGACAATCGGTTCGACGTGCCGCAGCCATTGATACCTTTAGGGGGTTGGCTTCCAGGAAGGAAGAGAGGAGAGACAGCGATACGAGGCCAGCTACCGGGATAAAGGCCCGATCACGCGTGTAACGCGCGGATTATTAATCGCAGAATAATTTGACGCCCCGACGACAGAGGCGGTGATGCAACCCCCTGCCAGCACCCCCTCCGGCGTCGTTCTTCATCTACGTTCCACCTACCACCGGCGACGCTTCGC